TAATGTGTTGTTTACAAAAAGCTTTTTCACCACTTACATTCTTGCCTTCAAGGTTTTCAGCGCCTTCCATCTGAGCCACACCAAGTGATCTGTAAATTTACTTTTGCCACTATTATTGCTGATAACAGGTGAACGAACGAAAATCGAAACCCGCTTCCACAGTCACTTTTTACTTACCAGCTACCTTTGCTTCATTTTACTCGATTTGCATATTTAGTCTTGCTGGTTAACTCCGCACCTTTCAGTCGGTGACGCAATAAATTAGATTACGACTGATGTGGTTTTCAGGATTGAGGTTGAAGTTGCAGGTGCCACCGTGGAATACTAACGCCCACTACAAAATTTAAAACGGAGGTGATGAAGCAGAATTCCATTCTTAATTGAAAACGAACCTTCCAAATTAGAACCTAACAGGTGGAGCCTACTCGTTTTCTCAAAAAGGGACACATTACCCAGTGAGGCATTGCATGTGAACTTCATTGAACGTACAAGGTGTTGGACATAAGAAAACCATTAGCGCACTGCCGGTTCAACTGATGACGCGCCTCCTGATTGACGCAGCAAATGAATGACGCGTAGCCGCGCAGATATCGCGTTTGATTTGTCCTAAAAAAAACTGATCTACACGACGAAACAAGTTCGTAACATAAGTTTTTTGAAGTGGTGACATTCTTTGGGTGCAAAAATCGCCACAGATACGAACAACCCATTATGCCTCAAATATCACAATGAAGCCATGGACGCCACTAAAGTAGAGGCCAGGATGGCCCTGAAGCTTGTCACTATTGATATGTACGATTGGTTTTTATACGTGGATCTCCTACAAACTGACGAACATAACGTCGACTCGCTTTCTCATGTGAAGAAAAGGTTATGTTATATTGTACGGTTATTTCTTTGTCGCGATAATTTCCTTGGTGGTGAGGCGCCTTCCTGGCCGCAGTCACCGATTTCACTTATAAATATGAGAAACCGATAAAGTGTAGGGAAGGAAACAGAAAAATTAAAGCTCAAAACGGTAAAATCGGGGTGACAAACACAACAATCAACAAAAGTCGTCATTCAAAGTCAGCATTAATCGTCTTAGTCTCCTAATCTCTTCATTCAGGTTCCTGTTAGGTGCTATGTTTGCACTCGATTTGAAGGCCATCCACGCGCTGCGGCCGCTCACGTTTTTTGCCAAAGGCATTGCATCTGTCTCGGCCATCGTAGAGACCTACAAAGCAAGCAATATATAAGTCACTAGAAGAGTTAAATAAAACCAAGGTTACAATCCCTATGTGGGATAGAAGAGCGGAATAAAGTGTGAGTTATTAATTCACTAACACATTTGGCACTACTACTAATATTTTGGCTGATAATGAAGCTCTTAAGTTCACAAGCTGTGGACAGATGAGCAGGCATTTGACAATCAATTTCACGAGCATCAACTGCCATTTACTCCTGCAGCATTTCGAATGTTAAATGTCCTTAGCGAACGAAGTTAGCTTAAGGTCTGATTTTTCTGCAGAGGAGTGAAAAATAAAATGATGTTTATTATCTTTAAAAGCAAAAGAAGTTTTGAGTAGTGCCAACTATTTAACCTTTCCTCCTTCTTCCAACCAAATTTATGAATTAGTACTAACTTTCAAAACGGAATATAATCACCTAACGTTATTTTTGACAGATTACCTGTCGAAATCTCGCTTCGGTTTCGATGAGTTTCTTTTTCAACGCACCTATGTCTGTGCGATAACCTTCAACCTCTAACTTTTTCCTTTGCTCCAAAGCTTTGTACCTTCGAACGCATAGCTGATTTATTTCCTTAAGTTTTCGGATTTTATCCGTGAAAATTTTCCTTGATTTATTGCATTCCTCCAGAATGTGACGATTCTTTTCCTCGACTTCTAAAACCTAAGATTACATATGTATATTACTGATAACATTCCAGAGTAGAGTTTATAATTTTAAGTGCGAAAACTATTACCCGTTCGCGACACTGAACTGCGAGTAGACGCTGCTGATCGAATTGAAATTCTAGTTTTTCGATGAATTTCCTAAGCTCCCATTCGCGTCTATGAGCGCCGTTCAATTTCCCGTCGTCCAAATCCCCGAAGAAATCCTGCTCCCGTCTTGTTCCTGTATTTTT